TTTTTTGTAGCTCCCGTGTATTTATACTGGCAACTGGTAAATTATCAAATGGAAAACGTCTTGTGATATCTAGAAAACCTTACTTAATTTCAATGTTAAACAATAAATTATCGAGAGAAAAATGTCTTCTGATATCTAGAAAACCCAACTTACTTAATTTCAATGTCAAACAATAAATAGAAAGAAAACGTCTTGTGATATCTAAAAAACCTAACTTACTTAATTTCAGTGTCAAACAATAAATCATAGGGAGAAAATGACTTGTGATATCTAGAAAACCTAACTTTACCGGCAAATCCCCCTCTATACATTAATCCAGAACGCGCTGAGCCTACATGGCTGCTTCTAGTGCTTCGAAATCCTATGTAGCAAAATTACATGCTTTGTTATTAGACTTGTATAGATTTTAATTTAATTCCAAACCAAATTAAGTTCAAATTACCATAAATATGTTGATTATTTATGATCATGTTACATGTATTAATTGCATTTTAATATCATTCCTTATTATAACTATTGAATTGTATATATATTAAAAGAGTTAATAACTTTTGTAGTTTTTATCACTTTTACATATGTAATATATCAAATTAATCTTCTTATGATGAGTTTCGATTTAACATCCATATTGTATGTATAAAAAAATAATTTATATTTATCTTTATAACAATAATAATTTTTTTAATATTAATTAAAAAATAAAATTATTTATCAACTAATATATTTATATTTCGAATAGTTATATGATATAAGTTATAAAAACTAATATAATATAAGACATGTAAGTTATAAGTAACACATATCATTCTGAAATATATAGTAATATATTTTTTTTGTAAAAAAGTAAATTAAATTTAATATATTTTTTTCATTAATTTTAAAATCTACGAATAATTTATTAACAAGCACCCGTGTATTACACGGGTGTTATACTAGTAATTAAGTAATAGCAAACAACAGAGTAGGAGACTGACACATGCCTGAGTTGGGTGCAACAGTGGCAGCCAAAGATTGAGAAGACAGAGAGAGGTACTTACAATAACTTAAAAACAAACTGACAACATCCTCATGGAAAAGGAATTTAAAAAATAAAATAAAATAAAAATTGAGGAGAAAAATAAAATAGAAAATTAAAGAAAAACGTAATTCGGAGTCGGGACGTTACACAGGAATCAACAGAATAAGGATAACGGATGAGTGTGCCAATTCCAGGGCTGCAATCGGGCACTAAGCAGCAGTGTGGGGATATTTGGGCCTCCACACAGTCCTGCCCTTGACGATCTCAGCACCACCCTCGAATCGAAGCAAATGCTGGCACTCGACACCACCATTTCCCGAGTCAACAGCACAATTATTATCCTTACCCACTATGGAGGTGAGGGACTGCAGCACACTGTCCCTCATGCACTCCCTCCTGTACTCCAGAGTCATACCAGCAAGCTCGTGGGTCTCTAAGATAGGTAGTGGAGCACTCTAGAACAAAAGAAATGTAGCAAAATGAAGCATTTTTAAGTAAAAGGATACAAGATAAAAATTTTAATTATTCAAGATGATATGATAAAAAATAGTGTATTGATGATTGTTTAGTTAGAAAATGTGAATAGGTGAATAATAAAGTTTATTAGAAAATGTGTAATAAAATATTAATTGATTTTTAATTTTAACATGGATTATAGATTATAGTGTATTTTATGATGATCTTTTATGTTTTTAATGGGAGAAAAAATGATCCCAAGGAAACGCTCTAAGCCCATGCTTATGTCAATCTACAGAACACAATGTCCCCAAATTTGAAGCAGACCGAGTGCCAACCCTCTCAACGCAATCAGGACAACATTCAGTTTTCAATAGCCAAGACAAATCTTAGATCATAAAACTGCTGTTCTAGATTGCTTAAAATATGCAAACTCAAGCTTCTGTAAATAATTTATGCAACCGATTGACAAAAAACACACACTAAAACAGTGAGCATTGGGAGATGTCTTAAACAGTTCAGCATATGAAATCATGGGTATATGATGTGTTAGTGTGCATTTTCATGTGTGTGGTTCTCCCCATGTGTGAGTACATACAAAACCCAGATGGAAAGCTTTTAGGATTAATAAAAATATTCTACATAAAGAATCAACATGGAGAGAAACAAAAAAGATGTTGAGGCATGAGGCCAATAAATTTAAACGGAATCATATTGACATACTAAGTGATGATCAGCAAGAGGGTCATAAACTGCATATACTACTTGAGAAAAAAAGTAAGTAGTATTAAGCACTAGAAAAGGAAGGCAACAAAAACTTGAGTAAAATGGAGAGCAAAGAAAATGTTCACCTCAAGAATCCAACCAACATATTTCACATTATTCACATGTTGATTGACATCTAAATCACTCCATCTAGGCTGCACGCAAGGAACATATCCTTAGAAAAAATTAATATAAACCAAACATAACAATAATTTGTGGGACACAATTAGTTTTGGAACATGAAATAAGTAGCCTGCTTACAGTCAAGCCAGAACGGATATAATCCACAGTACTGTCGTCAAGTTTTGGCAGCTTCCTGTTATCGTCATCTACAGTGGGAGGAGAATCCACAAAATAGCCACCAATTTCTTCTCGAACTTCATCTGGAATTTTAGATAACCTCCTCGTTTCTTTATTCATCATTACCCACAGACTGCCGACATTGACAAAAGAAGCCACCAAGATAACAGATTACTAGTTAGTAGAACTGAACTCACAATCTATAAAACACACATCTCTACATTCCATCAGCTCCACTTTCCGCTCAAGAGGCCCTTTGAAAATCATAGATAAAAATGAAGGCTGAGACACGAAAACCGATCATCAGCCTTCTTAGCTTCTTCTATCTCACACCATCTTCAATTTAATTTATCAAAGGGAATAAAATCCACAAATTGAGATAAGAGGCTACAGCAAATTTCACTATAAGAGAACAAACCAAAAGTTCTACACTTCAAAATATGTGTTAAACCCTACGACGCCTTGATACAACCGTACTAACCTTGAAGCTCTAGTTAATATGTCTCCTGTACGACTATCACGCACTAGCCAATCTCTGCGCATACCATTCTTCCCAGATGCAGCCACCCAAGTATCTACCTGAACAACATCACCCCTGCAAGCAACAATATCAGGTATCAAACTAGAAAAAATTACATAAGAGGTTCAAGCTTCCTACCAAATGCTAGTACGATAAGTCACCAGACAAACCATAAACTAGAACTCACCATGTAGGATAACGATCAACAAGAACTTGCATTTTAGTAACTACCCAAATCAAATTTCGTTTGCACATCTCCGGTGTTGAACCAAAGCCATCAGCAAGTAGTCCAGCATTTTTTACGTGGTTTAGGGCTGTTTCCTGCAAAAATTATGCAACTTGTTCAAGCACATGAGGAAAAAAATTTATAATTTTGAGGAGAAATATTGTATGGATCAAAGCAACAATATAACAAATCCAGCAAGCACCTGCAAATGATTCATCAGTGTCTCTACCGAAGCTGTTCGATCAGCCCCTATCTCATATGACCTTATACTAAAATTTTGACGAAATACCAAACCATCCTGCACAATCCTCCCCAACCCAAAAGGATCAACAAGCATATCTGTCCGTTTCGGCTTCCAATCAAGCATCATCCATTGCTTTTCTGCTGCCAAAAATATTGTAGTAATGGCAGCAAGGAGCATGCTCCAGTCAGGCAACTGGTTGATAAACGTCCTTGGGGGAGGTGACATAGACACAGGCACCTCATCCTCAGTCTTAAGGCCATCCAGAGTTCCTACCTTGGTCCCATTAACCTTGGGTATAGCTTGTGCATTAGCTTTAACCCGACATCTTCCTGACGATGCGGATCTTGACTTAATGCTTGTTCCACGAGCATCAACACTTGCAGGGATCCCTCCTGCAATCTTTCCCGGTGTTCTACCAGAGGTGTCAGAAATTGGAGCTATTGGGAGACATGCAGCAGCAGTGGTTACCATGATGTGCCTTCAACAGTCTATGGAAAGAAGAGGTTTAAGTGAAACCAAGTATTTCTAGGCAAATGCAAGAACAAGCAAATGGATCAACATCATCAAATTACGAAAATTCCACAGAGTCTTGTCCCCTCTACAAATCATATCACACAAGTCAGAATATAATACTGACAACTTCCTACATGGTGTAAGAAATAAGGAACTTGTATCTGAATCTGTCATCACAGAATGTCCACACACAAGGAACTTGTTTCAGAAAAAATGCTTCATGAAGAATCTGTGAGTCAGACAAAAAGGAAAAAAAAAAAAAAAAAAAAAAAAAAAAAAAAAAATGAAAAGCAAGAATCATCGTAACATTCATATGAATTTCAACAATTTTCTTCGAAGGGTGTCCTGCTGCAAGCACATCAATTCAAGAAAGCAACAAATATGCAATAAAAAAACTAAAATAGATACTAAAGAATTCTAGGTGACAACACCAAGACCAATAATAAAAGCCAAAAGCAGATCTGGGCATTCACAACCCGAAAAGAACAACCTGATTCCACAAGCCGCTAAAATTCTTTAAAGGAAAAAAACACGAAACCTTCAATCCTCTTACACTACATTGTTCGTGCCCAGAATCACACGAAGTTGCAGATCGAAATGTTGCGAACAAGGGAAACACGAAAACGAAATCAGAAACGTTAAATTGCAACGAAGAAATCATACGAACCTCTGCAAATGCCAACAAAAAATATAGAGATTATCAATTACAATCAAGGGGAGGAATCATCAATGGCTGATCCGCAAACCCGTCGGACCTCGCGAGACTTGCAGGGCTTGCGATCGTTGAGAGAGTTGTTCCCCTTGTTTTGCGATTCCAAAAATTACAAGCTTGAAATTATTTTTTGGGAGTCGTTTATACTAATTTTCGTTTTCTTGGAGGGTTTTGGAGCAAAGAGGAAAATTCTGGAAGAGAGAGGGGACCGAGGGCGGACAGCACATTTGTTGTTGATGGTATTCATTTGCGACCAATAACGCCTTTTTATAGTAAGAAAAAAAAAAAAACAAGAAAGCATTTTGCGAATTGCATTAGCTGGACCTCTCCCGCCTCTGGCGGTCTCGGCCAACTCCCTTATTAATGCACCTGCTACCGACGGATATACTTGGGGATGGGGAAAAGACACGGACCCGATTCGGTTAGGCCTTACTCGACGCATTAGAGCATCCACAATGTTTTGGATTCAATCAAAAGAATTTATATGTCACTTAAGAAAAAAAGACACGGACCCGATTCGGTTAGGCCTTACTTGACGCATTAGAGCATCCACAATGTTTTGGATTCAATCAAAAGAATTTATATGTCACTTAAGAAAAAAGACACGGACCCGATTCGGTTAGGCCTTACTCGACGCATTAGAGCATCCACAATGTCACTTAAGAAATATACTCAATGTGAAAAAATATATTATCCAATGCAAGTGCAAGTAGACTTGATCATGTTGATGTAGCAGAAAGAAAGAAAGAAAGACCTGTGAAATTTATTACTTTTACATAGTTTTATCCGTGTCATCCAAGACTTGTGTTTATTTACATGCCACAAAGACAAAGCTAGACTCGATGCATTTGGTAGAGTTTTGCCTATGTGACATGTATGTATGGCAAAACTAGACTCAATGCATTGTACAGAGCAATGCAGTGTAGACCCAATGCATTGGATCGAGTTTTGCCAATGTGACATGTATATAAACTACTTTTTTAAACAGCTCGCTATATTTTTTTTTCTTCCAAAAAACGCGACGTAGCTTTATATTTTTAGCGTTTTTCGCGAAAAACTTACGCGAAATGCTGAAATAACACAGTTTTTTATGCTATTTGCGCTATTCTGCAATGATATTTGAACAATAAAATATTCAAAAAATTGTATTTTCTAGGGATTATAGTTATATTTTTAAATGACTAAAAGCTAAAAAATTTTATAATGATTTCAAATTAAAAGTTTAAAAATGCAAAGTCATAATCTGAATAGTGTCGTATATATCGGTCCAGGTCTATTATATCATTATATTTTTTTGTTTTTGGCATTTAAACTTAAGAATAAAAATATCAGATCTAGTGGTTAGAATGAAATTGTAATTAAGTTAAAAAAAATAATTACAATATATATACTTAAAATTAAATTATAACTTATCTTATTATATTTTCGTTGTTTGTTTTTGCTTTTTAGTATATTCGCTTTGTTATTTAAATATTTATATTATGATATTTACATTAAATATTTGTAAGAAATAATTCTAAGATGTTACTTTTAGTTTCTTTAACTATTATGATAATATTTAGAATCAACCATCCAGTTTTATTATGTGCAAGTATATATAAAATATTTCTATAAAAATAATTCTTAAACTCAAATAGCTTACACAACACGCAGCGCTATCTACGATACGCAGTGTAAATACCAAAACGCGACGCATTACGCTATACGCGTTTTAAAACACAGATATAAACCAAATTTTTGGATGACATGGATAAAACTACGTAAAATTAATAAATATCACTCCAAGGCAGAGAGACTAGGTCTCTACTTGGGTCTGAAATTGACTTAAGGAGAGACCGAGTCTCTTTTTCTTGCTGCAACATCAACAAGACTCAGTCTACTTGCATTTGCATTGGAGAATATATTTTTAAGACTGAGTCTATTTCTTAGGTGACATTTAAATTTTTTTTAATGAACTCAATGCATTGTAGATGCTCTTAAAGGCATGTCAAACTTGTTGGACTATACTGCAAAAGTTTGACTTTGTGTTATTCAACAATTCCATTATGAATGAGTTCGTGTTATTAGTCAAGTGGATGTTAGTAGTTAAATTTTGAAAATAAATAATGGGTCACAGTCCATACGAAAATTGAAAATGATGGTTCACAATCTAGACGCGAATATAACTCTCTTCATGAATGATTGTAGTGTGATATTGGAATTAGTTGTCTTAAACTAATGGATTATACTAGTACATCTCGGATGTATCAAACGACCCACAGAAAGATAAGATTATTTTATATTGACCAAATAAATAATCTAGACCCCACTATTCGTTGCGTATTCTTAACCTGTAAAACAATGTACGGGCATATGTAGTCGACACTTACTTATTTGGTTTATCTTGGGTGAGACTTATTCTGGTAAGTTACATGCTCAATATTTTGGTAAGTAATGTTGGTTGCATGATGTGCAGTCAATATTGTTTACGATCGCCATATCCCGGGAGACCGGGTTGATGACATCTCTGAAATGAGCTCAAGAAGGATTATTATGTCAAGCCCGCCGCCAGGTTATTTTCCGACATAATAATAAAAAATTTAGTGGTATCAGTTTCGGATTCGAGAAGTTGATTAATCATCTTTTCAGTAATTAAATTAATTAAAAGTACGGTAGATATTAAATACGGGGATGTAAATCGAGCAATAAACTGGGAAACGAATTAATTATAATTCGGAGTTAAATTGGGAGTGCAATGATATTTCTTTAGTGGAATGATTTATTATTCGAGTATTGAGCGGAGTTGGCTTGGCCCTGAGTTTGACTCATGCTTAGTAATTTTATATTTAACATATCTATAGGGTTTCTATTGTAGCCCTATAATACACCAAGTCTCAAGCCTCCAAATACAAGAGAGATTATACACATGCACGACTTCTCTCTCCCATGAGATTCGATATGCTCTTTGATTTTTCTTGAAGAGACACACTTAGTGAAACTATTTTAATTAGCTTAGTTTTCCATTCTTTGATCAATTCATGTAGAACAAAGCAGCCTATGATATAAAATCTTCTCGAAGCGTCTTGTCTTATTGGCCTTCCAAAAAAGCAACCTTGTAGAGTCTTCTTTCATATGGGTGTCTTTCTCCACTAGATCGATTGTCAGGGAACGAACGAAGCCAAGCGAAGTTCAGTAAAAAAAAAAAAAACATAGTACAAGAAAATATAAGTACCGCTTGCGATCATTACGAAAATATCTCGGATGTATAAAATGAAGCCGAACGCAGATCAAGTAGCACCAGAGATGTGCGAGAAGGGAAAAGTCTCACTCATAAACTAGGAAGATATTGAGATTCAAGAAGCACTGCATGAAGACAGATCTCAACACATGAGATTTATATGTTCATCAAAGAAGAGGTTCGTCATTCTTTGATTCCACGGCAGAGTCAAGTTCTAAAGAAAAGAAAGGTTCTCTTGCTCGCTATTTGCTTGGTACTAGTTCTATGTGAGCCAACCAATCAGTTTTCCAGTTCTTTCGATCCTCTTATTGTACTATCTGCGAGTAGGTCCCATGTCATCGAGTGGGCCATAGGGCAATGTCCGAGCAACTAATTTATTTGGGCGAGACTCCTTACGATGTCATGATGCGCCCATTCCTATAGTCATTCCATTAATACTTCAGGCTCTTAGGAGTCTCTTTGTAGAGCTTCATTTGATTTTTCTACCAAGATCGTTTGGATAAGGTGTTGGGGTAATACAGTAGAAGAACTTTGCGTCTTCAATTCGTATCTCGTACAATATATTTGTACCCTGTAAAATTTATATAATTTTTAGGATTTCTGTTCTCCACACAAATCGAGAATTATGACCACCGGAGACCGGCGATCATCCTCTTGCACCTACTGGAATCACTAGCGTCGTGCTCAAATGTGCCCAACTATGCGCAGCACCACAGCAGGCCTTCTAGTAGCATGCAATAGGCGCATAAAGCGCACGTTGAGCACGCATCGTGCGCAGGCGTTGTTCTCGCGCATCGCCCAACGCATATGAGATTCTCGCGCAGACGCTCCCCAATGCGCCAGTCTGGCGCAGTGCTTTCTAGTACGCGATGCCAGGCCACCAGCAGGCATTGCGCGCAAAGCTATGCACGTCACAATAGCCTCATGCACCAGTGCAATCCTGTGCACATTTGAATTAGGCAAAATAAATCCTAATGCAGCAAAATTATAGTTAGGGTTAGAACATTATAGTGTAAAATTTTTGCCGAC